TGACAAAATTTTATTACGTATAAAAATATAAAGAAACCAAAACGCATCAAATGGCAAGCCACATGTAAGGGTTAAACAGGAACAGAAGGCACATAATGTAATTAATGAGGAAGCAAAATATTGTGTTCTTGTATTTTCTGCTAGACTTGTAGAAACATGTTCTGCCTTGCTTTTACACAAGAGGACACTTACTGAAATAAGCTTTGAATGTAGTTCAAATGCTTCCAGTCATATTTTGTACATTGAGGAAGAAGTGTGCTTTACCTGCCATCTGGTGACAGATTGAGCATGCAACTTCATGATTGTTGAAGATTGAAGTTCATTCAGCTGTGATGCTTTGCTGTGCAGTGAGCAGACCTTATTTATATAATTGCTGCTGTAGCCCTGTCTGTGTGACCTTCAGGACTGAATTACCAATCATTGACTCGTATTTGGTCAGTTGTGTAGGGACTTTTATGAAAGTTGGCCATTTTAAAAGTATCTTTGTGTTTTTTCTGGAATTCCAGCAGTATTGAAAACAGGATTTGGTCTAGACTGTGAGTAGTAGTCTGCTAACAATGGTATTAAACTACATAATTGGTTCTCAGAGTGTGGTCTGTCATCCAAAGGTGGTCCAAAATCCAAATTCTCCTTTTCAGCCCCACAGTACTACAAACACATAATTAGGCCATGGATTCAAGTAATCCATATTACTTATATTATCCTTGAGACACCACTGATCTCAGTTGAAGTTTTTAGTGATGAGAGCCATGAAGGTGCATAGGAGTAGTAGGAGGTAAATTTTGTGTGTGGTGAAGAGAAAATACCCAACACTGCAGGAAATTATCTCAGTTTTACAGCTGAAAGCCAATTATTTTGCTAACTGAGCTACAGAACTCAAAGAATTAGTTAATTTTGTTATCTTTCTTGCAGTACCTCATATCTTTATTTCTTGTTTACCAGTAAGTTAAAAATGTTGATGTGCAAGTCACTATTGTGCTGATATGATGTATTTATATGGATGCATTTAGCTCTTTATTACCACATGCTTCAATGATTAGTATCTCAAAACTATATGGTAGAAAACCCATTCACTCAGGCGCATTTTCTGTTGAAGGACATGCTCAAAAATAAGGCCAAGACAGACAGCAACAGGCAATATACTTGAACGAAACAAAGTAACAGTACTAAACCAAAACACATCTTTATTTTATAGCACACTATAATTATATCACAGCATATTGGCAGATTTGTACAAACATTTTCACTTATTTTAACTTAAATTTTAAATATAACAAGAAGGAAGACTAGGCAGTTCATAGAAGCTACAGTGTGTTCCTTGTAACTTCTGACATCATAATCATCATTACTGTCATATTTAGTAGACCCCTAGTAGTTGCAATTGTTCTGTTATAATCATTACAGAACAGACCTTGCGATCTCCCAAACTTCTTCTTCCTCTCCGTTAATATGCTGTAATTTCGGGACAGAAGAATAGAGATCTTATTGAAATTTATTTTTGGACACATTCTTACCATTTTCTTTGGAAGCATTGTATGAAATCTGTTATGTTTTTAATTTTTATTTGTTTATTTATTTTTTCTTCCCTGCAGCCTGAAATGCAGTAACCTGCTGTCAGTCACAACCACATTTATATTTAACATCTCCCATCAGTCCTTATTGTCCATACGCAATAGTCCATGAAACTTAAATTTTTTGTTCTTCCAGAACATAAGAACTGCACAGAAATAAAAAAGTTACTATATAATTTTTTTTAACATTGCATTTAACAGGTCAGAGAAATTTAGTGAAAAGTAATTAAACAGACCCAAGACTTTTCATGACAATTATTCTGTAGTCCAACTTAGGTGAAAGTATTGTGGACATTTAAATATGCCCATTAATTAATTCATCACACAAAATTGTAGTAACCATTAATAAATTATAAATATTTGTCCATTTTGAATTACTTTCTTCCTCAATACAGTCAATCTAAGAAATACATCTCCAAAAGTCTATTTTTCCACTTGAATGAGCATAATACACAACAGAATATCAGTTGTTTATGTTCATTTATCATGTGAAATACATTCTATTATTAGTACAAAACTCTGCTGCCACATGATACTAGTCTGGGAAGTGTTTTTTGAGATGATGTACAGATGACTAACAGCCTCATGTCTGGGTCGTAAGCATCTCTTCTTGTTCCAAATGTGTGTGTGAATGCCTCAATGTGATAGCAGCCTGTCGTTTCAGGGCTTTTCCTTCTATCAGCAATGTCATGGCAAGGCCTGCCAACAGCAGAGCGGTCAAGGTGCCGTTGGTAGCGATGTCTCCATGGGCACCCAATATTTCTCCACCAGCTAGAGTGAATATGACACCAAACACCTCACTGGATGCATTCAGCAGCCCAGAAGATGTTCCTTCAGGTATTGGATAGGTGAGTTCTGCTGCAAACTCATATCCGATACCCAGGTAGCCTGTCATAAAAAACCTGGAAGCAAGTGCATAGTTGATTACCTTCTTAGGGCCTCTGGCCTATGTGAAAGGGAGTGGAAGAAATATACTGACATATATATATATATATTTATTTATTTATTTTGTGACAGTCACCCTCAGTGGACTAGTGGTTAGCATCGTTCAAACCCGACTGAGGTCGATAGACTTTTAAGGGTGACAAAAATCTGTAGAACAACTTCCTTTGGAGGGGATGTAAAGCTGGCGGTTCAATGTCACAGATTGACGGCATGTAAAAGAACCTTATGAGCATGAATGAGATGTTTGATAAGCAAAATTCAGCAGCCATTTCTCACCGAAGTCCCTCCTGATTTACTACTAGATGGCTCTAATAGACATTCAAGACTGGGTAGAAATTGTGCAGAGGCAGTCACTCACTACAAAAGACAAAGAAACCTCCCACAAGGGAGGAGGCCAAGACTCGGCTTCAGGCTGTTGTGCCATAGAGTTAGTGAGTCAGTCATACATTGTGACATTTTGTATTTCTAAAATCTTAATGAATACAATAGACATGAGGTTTAAAGTGACTGAAGTAAGTCATAAACTAGACGAACCTGAAGATGATATAATTTTACATAAAATTCATTTTGAATTTCTCAAATTCTGTAAATTTGGCAGTGATATCCTCATTACTGACACTGAGGCGAATAAGCAGTGTGCATAATATAGTGTAAGAGTCTTACCCAAGAAATCCAGCAGTGATGTAGATCACCCAGATATGTCCAAGTGTAAGTGTGAATGTAAAGGCAAGCATGCCTGCCAGTGCCATGAAGTACACCACCAATGTGCATTCCCTGAAACCAGGCATTCGTGTTATAACATATTAACCCTTTGAATCTGAAGCCTGTCTAAATAATATTTAATAATTGTCTGTACTGCAAAGAAAACACAAACACTTTGCCATTAAAAATCACATGGTTAATGCTGTTTAAGGAAATAATCAATTTATATAATTCATACAAGACTCACAATTACAAACTCATGGTGTAGATAGTTCTCACTCGGATTTGAAGGGTTAAATTACACCAAAAAGGCTTCCTCTCATATCTGCCCATAAGCACCATTCATTATCATCTTCAAGCGCTGATCCCGCTGTTAACACAATGTATTTATGATCTAGCACAGGGAGTCCTGGGTTCTTATGGTAATTTTCATTGCTGGTTATCTCCAAACGCCTTGATATAAATCTCTTTTTCAGGAGATGGAAATTCAGATGAAATTATTAATTTATGTGGTATAGTCTATTCATGTCAAATTGGAGCAGAGATCTTCTGTCACTTATTCAGTTAAGATGTAAGTCCTTGCACCATTTTGCAATTGGATTACTCTCTAATACAACATTAATTACTCACAGTGAATTCAGTTTGTACATAAGGATAGCACTCACTTGAACCTATGTGTCTTATCAAGGATAATGCCCCCAGTGACAGACCCCACCATTCCTGCCAATACAATGGTGAGACCAATTCTGCCAGCATCTTCCTCTGCATTCTGCAACAGAGAGATATAAGGGTTAAGAGGTCAGACCTGGACTTGATCCTTGACCAGTACAGTAGAAAAAACTTCTTTTAAAATATGCAGGTTGAGTCAAAAGTATGTTTACAAACTTTGTGTGCGTGTTCCTGAATCAAAAATAAGAAGAAATGTTCCTATGAACATGCGGTCGCAAATGCTTCTTTTTCAAAATAATAGCCAAAAATAAGTTTCGATGTATCCCTTTATTGCCAAGAATAAGGACAGGGATGTTTCTTCATAACAGATGCTCCAATCTCTACACATGCCTGAGCACAATGTACACAAGGCTGACGGACTCGCTCGTACCACCAGGGTTTCCTCGAATCATCTGCACACGTTCCCATAGGTCATCTTCACTGTTTATGGGTGTTGCATAAACGACGGACTTCAAGTGACCCCACAGATGAAAGTCCAATGGAGTCAGGTCCGGTGACCTTGGTGGCCATGCTACTGGGGCCACCACGTCCAATCCGTCGCTGAGGGTACTGTTCATTGACGAGAGAAGTGTGCTGGGCTCCGTCGTGCACAAACCACATCTGTCTTCTTGTATTTAGTGGTACATATTCAAAGAGACGTGGCAAGTATCTTCTTCAGAATTGCCGATATGAAGGTCCTCTTAGACGTGATGGAAGCATGTGTGGACCAATAAGCATGTCGCCAACAATTCCTGCCCAAACGTTAATTGAAAATCTTTGCTGGAAGCTGGATTCACTTTGACATAAAGTCATTCACTAAAACTCATTTTTGGCTATTATTTTGAAAATGAAACATTTGCGATCCCATGTTCATAGTGATATTTTTTCTTATTTTTGATTCTGGAATATGTACACAAAGTTTGTAAACATACTTTTGACTCAATCTGTATATAATTCACTAAGCTGAACAATTATTTAATCTAGTCATTCTGGAAGCTGGTCATAACCTAACAACATTTCATTCCTGTTCTTCTCATATGTCTTTCCTTTCATTACAGCCTTCAAATGAATGTTGCAGTCAAGTAATTAGAATGCCTGCTTTGTATTTTGGAGGACCTGTGTTCAAATCCTGCCCCATAAATTGCCTATCATGATGCTTTTACTGATTTTAATCAATCCCTCCAGCAAATTCTAGGAGAGTACCTTAATTTAGGTCACAGTTGCTTCCTTGTACATTGTTTCAAATTCGTTATACATTAATCATTCTATCATTTGGCCTTGTATTAATCTAAGCTAGTGAAAGATGCCACTACGTAAACCATGAATCAGAAATCACTTACAGCCTCTGGTATTATTCTTTCTTTCAACTTGAACCAGGTATTTCAATAAAACTCACAGCAAAATATAGCAGCACTGTCTGGTTGAGGAGTGTTGACACAACATAGAACACGCCCACGTTGATACCGTAACTAAACAGGAGAAGCACAAAGTTCCTGTTGGTAAGTAGTGACTTGAGTGTCTGCAGATATGTCTGTCTGTCTGTGCTCTTGTCTGTTATAGGGAGCTGCTGTCGCAGAGATGCTTGGGCAGGGCTTGGGGGCAGTGGCGGCTCCTTCTGGAAAACTGTGCCCCACTCATATGAAGAAGTTTTGTTACACACTTTTATTTTTTATTAAAAATGGGCTCCACTTCGTAGGAAAACCACAAACTACACGACATTTGAAAGCAGAGAGCTAAGAAGAATATGAAGACCCAACCGAGAAGAGCTAAGAAGGGAATAGAGCATATTACACAATAAGTGATGCAACACTGAGGGATTAACAGATTTGAGTGAATGTATAAAGTGAAGCTTTTACAGCAACTGAAGTTGATGAAAGACTCTCGGGCTACAAGCTGCATCAGGTGGCTGAATGATGAATAAATCATATCTTCTGCCAACTTTTCGAGAGCAATCTCCGTTCTCATCCTTGGGGCTGCCGGGTAACCAGTCTGTTCCTTTGTCGTGTGCTAGCTGATGGGAACTGGTTACCCAGTAGTCCAGAGGATGAGAATGGAGACTGTTCTCGAAATGTTGGCAGAATATATGGTTTATTCACCTTTCAGACACCTGATGCGGCTTGTAGCCCGAGAGTCTTTCATCAAGATTTAAGTGAATGTTTATGAAGCATTCTTGATATTTCAACAATACAGATTAGCAGTAAATGAATTTTTGGAGATATTTACAACTTATTAAGTGGCAAGTTCTGCAAAATGAAGTAGAGAAACATCATACAAAGGATAGAAAATATTGCATGCACTTAGAAAAAATAAATAATAAAAATTTCCAAATCATTAATTCACTGGATGCCTATAAGAAGATGCTGAAGGAGAAGACCACAAGCAAGGTGGTTACAAAGAGTTTATTATCGACAATCATTAAGTATGAGAATGTGGCTAACACAGTGATGCTACTTACAAAAGAGCACGAGGCAAAGCATGATGGAGGGAGCAACTGCCATGCCATAGTAGAGAATCTTGAGGTCATGTCCAATGTCTTTGACATCCTCATGGTTACCAACTACTGCAGGTGGGATCAGAAAGCCAAGTGCCACCCCAACCTAAACAATACCAACCTAGTAACTCATGAAATTGTTAATGATTGGAATCTTCAAGAGTTCATGAAAAACAAAAGGCAATCAGTACAGTAATGTAACGCCACACCTTGACTGACTGAGGAAAATGTATATACACGAAGTTTCCTTTTCAGGCTGACAGTAGCAATATCAAGACTGATATTTTCAGAACTTGAATTTGGAATTTCTTTTGAAACTTGGTATCACTTTACAGTAAGTTCTTCTTGGGCTACCAGCCAATTCAGGTGGCTGAAAGGTGAAAGAAACATTTTCGTTCTCATCCTCAGGATACTGACATGGCTGGTAGCCTGAGAAGAATTTATTATACTTAGTTGCCTTGTAAGCTCCAGATCATACTAGTAGCACCTTATTAAATGCATACATTTTTTATTATATAAATTAAAGCCTCTTTACGGGTCCGCAGTGGCCGCGCGGTCTGAGGCATGGACCTTGTGCCGCTTGGTCGCTGGGACTGTGGGTTCAAATCCCACTCAAGCTATGGATGTTTGTCACGTTTTTCTGTGTTGTGCTGTCCTGTGTACAGGTAGAGGCTTTGCGACAGACCAATCCCTCATCCAAGAAATCCTACCAAATGTCTCTAGATCAAACCAACAAAAAGTTGGGACCTAAAGTGCTCAGGCACTTGAAGAACGGGTCGTTCCCAGAATGCCCCCAGTACTGCCTCTTTATTCTGATGGAAGAACATAAATGGCAAGTGGCTGAAATATCTGGACCTAAGAGGGCTGAGGGGAAAAATGGAGATTATTATAAGCTTTATAATTTACACAGCTTACTGAGTGCGTAGTGAAATCAAGAGTTTTCAATAATTCATATCAATATCTCCCCTCTCCAAAAAAATTAAAGGGGGCTTGAACTCCTGCTGGGCTACATATGGAAGGGTCTAGATTCTCTCTCAACTCATACGCCAGTTCCAACTGCAAACTATGAAGAGAAAAACACCTTTTCTACAAAATTCTGCACTCACTATTAAATTAAATAAGTTACGGAGATGAAATGTCAGCTTGGAGGTATCAACCAAACTTTTATGTAATTTTTACATAAGCTTACTGACAATTTTTATAGCACTTGGTGGCTCTGCAGCACAATGCTGTTTTTATGTTAAAGTTTTGACAGAGACTTCAAAGATTAACAGTGTCATGCAGTCAGCCAAAAACTGTGTGCCATCACCCTTACCTGGTTACCAAAAACTCCAAGAGCACAAGCCGTGGACACCTGTCTAGGTCCAAACCAGACAGCAGCTAGGCGGGCTGGCACCCCTAGTATGAATATCTGTGCCATTCCTACCAGTGCCTGACCAAGGAATGCCAGGTAAAAATATTCAGGGGATGCAGACAAAACTTTGAGCCACGCTCCTGTCGTCATAATGCCCGCACCAGACAGCAGTGTCACACGAAGACCCTGGAAAATTGCTCACATGAGTAATACAGGCATTGATTGATCAGGCATACAGAATGAATAAATAATGAAGAACATAGTGAAAAAAACATGCAACATATTTTTACTTTTAAGAATAAACTTCAGAGTGACTGGATGGATTAGCAACGAACCTTAATGTATCACAACAATTTACTGTAAATCTGAGTAACAAACTTCTAACATGAAGACAGTCAGGTGCTTATTATCTCTTAGATGCCACACAAATTCTGTTAAATTAAAATATATCACAGTATAAACACTCTGTACCAGCACAGTGACTGCGCACCTTGCGATCCAGAACCCAGGAAGCAGGAAACACAAATGGAATGTAGCAAGCCATGTAGATCATGGATGTCCAGTTGATGGCAAGGCTGCTGACATTGTAATACCGCATCATGATGTTGGCAATAATGGAATACTGGAGCCAGTGCATGGAGTTTGCCATGGAGCACAGTACAAATATCGCCAGCATGACCCATCGCCGTCGATATTCCCGACACTGGAGAGGTGGTGCAGTCTCCTGTTCAAGCATCACTCCACCTGTCAACACAAGCTATGTTGGTAATACTGTTACAGTGGTCTCCAAGAGTTTCAAAATAAGTAAAGTCATTTTGCATTTAGTAATAACAAAGAATTTAATTTTTTCATAGTAATCATTCTTGATAAAATCCCTTTAATTAGACTAGAAAGAACAGAGTTTTAAATGAGGAAAATACTGCTCAAGTTAATTATGTATCACTGACGAATTCTGGAAACAAGTTTTCAATGGAACTTAAGCAAGGAGCAAGGTTACTTTATTGTGTCATAGATTTATCTTTTATGCACAATAAGAGAAAGGGGTAATGAATATAATAAGCAGGCATGTTGGAATAATTGCTATGTGAAGCAAAGGGTCCATGGGAGTTGGTTTTGTGAGAGCTTGGCATATCAGGAAACATGAATTCTCCAATTGTTTTTAGTTTCTCCATACTACAGAAAGAAAATATTTCTGGCAATAAGAGCTTAGGACATTTTCAGGTCCTAACCAAAAAACAAGCCTGAGACATAATAAATACTAATCTCCGTTCTCATCCTTGGGGCTGCCGGGTAACCAGTCTGTTCCTTTGTCGTGTGCTAGCTGATGGGAACTGGTTACCCAGTAGTCCAGAGGATGAGAATGGAGACTGTTCTCGAAATGTTGGCAGAATATATGGTTTATTCACCTTTCAGACACCTGATGCGGCTTGTAGCCCGAGAGTCTTTCATCAAGATTTAAGTGAATGTTTATGAAGCATTCTTGATATTTCAACAATACAGATTAGCAGTAAATGAATTTTTGGAGATATTTACAACTTATTAAGTGGCAAGTTCTGCAAAATGAAGTAGAGAAACATCATACAAAGGATAGAAAATATTGCATGCACTTAGAAAAAATAAATAATAAAAATTTCCAAATCATTAATTCACTGGATGCCTATAAGAAGATGCTGAAGGAGAAGACCACAAGCAAGGTGGTTACAAAGAGTTTATTATCGACAATCATTAAGTATGAGAATGTGGCTAACACAGTGATGCTACTTACAAAAGAGCACGAGGCAAAGCATGATGGAGGGAGCAACTGCCATGCCATAGTAGAGAATCTTGAGGTCATGTCCAATGTCTTTGACATCCTCATGGTTACCAACTACTGCAGGTGGGATCAGAAAGCCAAGTGCCACCCCAACCTAAACAATACCAACCTAGTAACTCATGAAATTGTTAATGATTGGAATCTTCAAGAGTTCATGAAAAACAAAAGGCAATCAGTACAGTAATGTAACGCCACACCTTGACTGACTGAGGAAAATGTATATACACGAAGTTTCCTTTTCAGGCTGACAGTAGCAATATCAAGACTGATATTTTCAGAACTTGAATTTGGAATTTCTTTTGAAACTTGGTATCACTTTACAGTAAGTTCTTCTTGGGCTACCAGCCAATTCAGGTGGCTGAAAGGTGAAAGAAACATTTTCGTTCTCATCCTCAGGATACTGACATGGCTGGTAGCCTGAGAAGAATTTATTATACTTAGTTGCCTTGTAAGCTCCAGATCATACTAGTAGCACCTTATTAAATGCATACATTTTTTATTATATAAATTAAAGCCTCTTTACGGGTCCGCAGTGGCCGCGCGGTCTGAGGCATGGACCTTGTGCCGCTTGGTCGCTGGGACTGTGGGTTCAAATCCCACTCAAGCTATGGATGTTTGTCACGTTTTTCTGTGTTGTGCTGTCCTGTGTACAGGTAGAGGCTTTGCGACAGACCAATCCCTCATCCAAGAAATCCTACCAAATGTCTCTAGATCAAACCAACAAAAAGTTGGGACCTAAAGTGCTCAGGCACTTGAAGAACGGGTCGTTCCCAGAATGCCCCCAGTACTGCCTCTTTATTCTGATGGAAGAACATAAATGGCAAGTGGCTGAAATATCTGGACCTAAGAGGGCTGAGGGGAAAAATGGAGATTATTATAAGCTTTATAATTTACACAGCTTACTGAGTGCGTAGTGAAATCAAGAGTTTTCAATAATTCATATCAATATCTCCCCTCTCCAAAAAAATTAAAGGGGGCTTGAACTCCTGCTGGGCTACATATGGAAGGGTCTAGATTCTCTCTCAACTCATACGCCAGTTCCAACTGCAAACTATGAAGAGAAAAACACCTTTTCTACAAAATTCTGCACTCACTATTAAATTAAATAAGTTACGGAGATGAAATGTCAGCTTGGAGGTATCAACCAAACTTTTATGTAATTTTTACATAAGCTTACTGACAATTTTTATAGCACTTGGTGGCTCTGCAGCACAATGCTGTTTTTATGTTAAAGTTTTGACAGAGACTTCAAAGATTAACAGTGTCATGCAGTCAGCCAAAAACTGTGTGCCATCACCCTTACCTGGTTACCAAAAACTCCAAGAGCACAAGCCGTGGACACCTGTCTAGGTCCAAACCAGACAGCAGCTAGGCGGGCTGGCACCCCTAGTATGAATATCTGTGCCATTCCTACCAGTGCCTGACCAAGGAATGCCAGGTAAAAATATTCAGGGGATGCAGACAAAACTTTGAGCCACGCTCCTGTCGTCATAATGCCCGCACCAGACAGCAGTGTCACACGAAGACCCTGGAAAATTGCTCACATGAGTAATACAGGCATTGATTGATCAGGCATACAGAATGAATAAATAATGAAGAACATAGTGAAAAAAACATGCAACATATTTTTACTTTTAAGAATAAACTTCAGAGTGACTGGATGGATTAGCAACGAACCTTAATGTATCACAACAATTTACTGTAAATCTGAGTAACAAACTTCTAACATGAAGACAGTCAGGTGCTTATTATCTCTTAGATGCCACACAAATTCTGTTAAATTAAAATATATCACAGTATAAACACTCTGTACCAGCACAGTGACTGCGCACCTTGCGATCCAGAACCCAGGAAGCAGGAAACACAAATGGAATGTAGCAAGCCATGTAGATCATGGATGTCCAGTTGATGGCAAGGCTGCTGACATTGTAATACCGCATCATGATGTTGGCAATAATGGAATACTGGAGCCAGTGCATGGAGTTTGCCATGGAGCACAGTACAAATATCGCCAGCATGACCCATCGCCGTCGATATTCCCGACACTGGAGAGGTGGTGCAGTCTCCTGTTCAAGCATCACTCCACCTGTCAACACAAGCTATGTTGGTAATACTGTTACAGTGGTCTCCAAGAGTTTCAAAATAAGTAAAGTCATTTTGCATTTAGTAATAACAAAGAATTTAATTTTTTCATAGTAATCATTCTTGATAAAATCCCTTTAATTAGACTAGAAAGAACAGAGTTTTAAATGAGGAAAATACTGCTCAAGTTAATTATGTATCACTGACGAATTCTGGAAACAAGTTTTCAATGGAACTTAAGCAAGGAGCAAGGTTACTTTATTGTGTCATAGATTTATCTTTTATGCACAATAAGAGAAAGGGGTAATGAATATAATAAGCAGGCATGTTGGAATAATTGCTATGTGAAGCAAAGGGTCCATGGGAGTTGGTTTTGTGAGAGCTTGGCATATCAGGAAACATGAATTCTCCAATTGTTTTTAGTTTCTCCATACTACAGAAAGAAAATATTTCTGGCAATAAGAGCTTAGGACATTTTCAGGTCCTAACCAAAAAACAAGCCTGAGACATAATAAATACTTGCAGATGTTTTCTTCCAAAATAGTACATTACCTTTACTCATATTACATTCCACATGCCTACAAGACAGCCCAGAAAACTTGAATCTGAACTCTCACTGCCATGAAAACATCAAATCCCTTATAATATTCCAGATGCAACTTTAAGGGAGAATAGCCTTTATCTTTACTACAAACCTGATAAGATTATGTGATGTGATAAACTCTTTGAATGGTTGTGAATAACATTTTATATGCTTCAGTGTGTTTCTAACTTCAAAAGCATAGGCCTGCTTGATAAATAAGCCTCTAATAACAAAACCTGCATCTTCAACACTTCTAATAACAATCAGCCAGTTCCATCCACCTCTCATCCTGTTTCAGTGGTTGTCCAAAAATTCAGTGTGTTCACAAGATGTTCCCCTCATAATTCTTTATTTATTTTTGTTTCCTCCTCAAGAAAACCAGATCATTATCCTAACAATAAATAGCCTGCTGTGTAAACGTGCTTCTTCAGGTATCCCCACTAGAGTTAGATCCGGCGACCGAGGAGGCCGTGCACGTCCCATCCACCTTCCTGGATATGTAGTTCAACCACTGCCGGACATCTTCCCCATAGTGCGCTGGAGCTCTGACGTGTTGAAACCACAAATTCTGGCTCACGGCTAGAGGTACATCTTCAAGCAGCCCGGGTAGAAGTTTCCAGAAAATCACGACATCGTTGATCAGTCAGCCTGTCAAGTAGCAGATGGCCCACGACAATGTGCCCGACGATACCAAAACAGCCCAAACGCTGATGCTGAGCAGACTTGATACCCACGTTCGCGGATAGCATGAGGATTATCCCGTGCCCACAGATGACTGCTATGGACGATGAACACGCTTCATCCGTAATGTGTTGATGTAGCCATTCCCAAAATTGAGGCCGCAGAAGACGATCGTCTGGAAACTATGTGCGCTATGCGAACAGTGATACGGATGCAATTGCTCGTCAAGAAGAACGTTGAGGACCCTCGGTTGGGATAGTCCCAATTCTCGAGCGACATCGCGTTAGCTTCTCCATGGCTCTCGTTTCACAGCTGCAAGTATGGCATCTTCACTGGGAGGGGTCCATGTGCTGCAGGTGTGTGTGTACACGCCGTCTCACGCAGAAGCTGCTCCAGTCGTCAAACACGTTAGCGTGAGAATGACGTAGCGTGTATTCAGGTGCAGTAGTACCAACTCGACTATTTGCAGGCACCGAGCATGTCGCAGTATATGTCGTGTCAGTGTATGTATTCCGTGATAATTCATCACAACTGAGCCCTTCTATGCGTGTGTCTCGAAAACTAAGCGTCTCGGGACATAACATTTTCGTCAACTGTTTTAACAGGGAACCGCACTGTGGGAAACGTGCTCGAATTTCGTCTCTTTTGAAGTTGACAGTGTGGGTTTGTGTGTGTGTTTGCTTATAGCTCGAGGACGGATACGCCAATTTTCACCAAATGTGGCTTTCTCTCTGTCCTTGAGATCAGAAAGAGAAAATAGCAGGTTAAAACTCCAGAACAAGTGTCCACAGTTCGACTCCCGGTGAGGGCGGTTCCTGTAGCTAGGAAACTAAACACGATAGAAGAACGGTGCCAAGATTAAAGTTGTTTGTCTTGAAGAGGAGATTACAATAACAAAGACCAGAATCCATAAAACCACCTTGTTTTCAAATGCAACAATACGTATCGAATGGTCACGCTTTTGGCCGAAAAGATTGTTATGAAATGTAAACAGTTGTCGGACTTTCCCGCAAGAACTCTGCAGGCACTCTGCAAGTACGTGAATAAAAGACGGTGCACGGAAATGTTAACTCATGATAGCACTAAATTATTTATTTATTTTTAAACTATGATGATCACAGATTTTCAGTTGCATGGTACAGTATTAAATAGATAACATCGTAAGGATTTCTAGCGGATTGTACCGTCAATGGAAAGATAAAATACAGCGGGTACTTTGATCGACATACAGTGTTAGTTGTGTCTATAATGTTCTGTTTATAGAATATCCACAAAATATGTTGGATTTTCGTAATAAATATCTTACATAATTGAATTAAATAAAAATTAAAATGGGGACATACGTTTGCAATGCGGCAAATGAATGAATTAAATAAAATTAACAACTGCAATATGTAACATGAACAATTATTAAATTTTATTGGTTATAATTTGTGTTGGTAATAAATACGAACACAGTCCTTAACTTAAATTTTCTCCTATTTCTCACTTTTACTTGTTTCACTTTTTAAACATAAAATCATGATAAACTTTTCAGATTTATTTAGATCAACAGAAAAGAGTTGTGAAAGAATAAATACTTTTATATGGAAGCCATATAGAAGTATAACCACAAAATAAACTTAAAGATTAACATTGTTAATACTGAAACAATAAGTCGGATTTCTAGATAAACCGAGTTGAGCTTAGAGCCACATTACAATGGTTACGCACATCTAAAGCAAAGAAGAACTTTGTTCCCTTTTTAACCTTGTACTAATTTCATGAACCCGCCATGTACCTAATCATATCCTTTACAGATTCTTGCTGGCATGTATTACAGAACAAAGAATTTGCTATGGTATGTTTAACTTTCTTGTTTACTTCTATTACGTCGCCACATTTAGGTTCAGTGGCAGTGACTATTTTCTTCTTCTTCTTCTCTCCTTCCTGCCGTTCCATCTGTGCTTTTATAAAGGCTTCTGACTAGAACGTTTGCACTTTGTATCCCCTGAGATTTCCTCGAAATATTTACCTTTGAAACAGTCTTCGGTAAACGGGAGACACTGTCCACAGAGATATGAGAACTGCAGCCTACACGTGCACTTGAATTCCAAGGACAAGAAAAGGTTGTTACAAAGGCATCCTGGAATGCAGTGCTTCCAGAAAAATCTTGATCTTGCAACACATTTCTATCAACTGGCAACACTGCAGCAAGATAAATTCCCTTGGCAGCATTAACGACGCTACAAGAACATTTGGGGTTATTTTGACGTTTGAAGCACCGACCTGGGATCCCCAAAAAACCTGCACGCCCAGTCACGCGCAAGGAGCGTCACTTGTCTCTGCTAATTGTTAATGTTGTATCACGAACATAAAGCCTTGTATCGACTACGCGCGGCTGCCTCGCGAGGCAATGTCCGTTGCTTTGCCTCGCAAAGTCGATACCATGTTGCCACGCGTGGCAGAACGAACACTGCCGCGCTCGAACTTGGCGCGCGTCGAGCCAAATCTGAGCGGTTCTTTGTCCCGCGGCAAAGGGATTTCACTGTGCTGTGCCCTTTCAGTTGAGACTGTCTTGTGGCGTTCCGTTGCAGCAACATGGAGAATGAAAAGTGTGTAGCTCTCATACAGATTTATAAATCTAAAGAGGTGTTGTGGAATTCCAAAATTGTGAATTACCATAACAAAAGTAAACGCGAGGACGCCTGGAAGGACATAGGTGACCAAATGAAAATTCCAATTCAGGATTTAAAAAAGAAGATGACATTCGAGTGAAATTTTTAATTGTATCCTCCACTAATTCAAATGTCATATCTCGCATAAGTCTCTTTCCATATTGCATTCGCTGACGATACAATTCCTTAATCCACCAACGCACTTTTCGTTTTGGTTTCTTATTTTTTTCCATAATGTTGAACATCAACATAAAGGCAGCCGCTGCACGTGCTGTATTCATGGTGATATTGCGAGAACTGACGAACAGCGTCGATCACAGCCGAACACGGCTGCCGCGCTCGATGCTGGTAACCACGAGCACAATGAGCGAACGAACGAGTTTGCCGCGCACGAACAGGTGCGCGAGGCAGCCGCGCGCAGTCGATACAAGGCTTAAGATGAGCGCAACAGCGAATAACATTTTCCATGCAAAAAAGCAATGGCCAGAGAAAGCCCGAAATATTCTATTCTACGTCTGATTGTTATCATCTGAACCAGACTGAAACCCGAACATTGTGTGCTCTCAGGCCCAGACATGTGCAAACATCAGTCAGGATCTGAACCTTCACGCGAATGAGACAGTGTTTTGTTGAATCATCTGTTGCGCACTTAAGCAAAGTACGGGGTTGCGATGTACACAATCAGTGTTCATTTCCCGGTAGAAACTCTGGGATGTTCCAGCTCACCACTGCTTTCAAAACAGCTTTGATGCTCTCGTATTCTTCGGGAGATCTTTACCCAAATGTAAAATGTCAGAAGCGTGATTTCACCACTCACCACTAATCAGTAACCAAAGTTATGAACGAGCAGAGCCTTACCTGCAGACCCCACGTACAGCTTCATGACGTAATGCCTAGGAATAAGTTCTGCAGCTAGAAACGTTCTGTGTTACTAACGCTAACACAGCTCAGGTTGCAGTGTGAGAACTTCTACTGAAATTCAAAACTACTAGCAATATATACTACAATCACTCCTGTATTAAACTCTACTACCTAAAAAAACCCACAAAATGTGCATATATGACGCATGCAAAACATTCAAAATCTTGCATAATATTCCACCTGCAACATAATCCCGATATCCGATGACTAGTCAAGCCGCATGTTGATAATGGAATTTGGCGGACACGTGCAGAGATAATTTTTAACTACAGGGTACGAAACTTTCTTAAAAATATTAAGCCTCTCTCCACACAGTCTAATTGTTCTTTTAAAATTAACAGCGGTGCGATATTCCTCATAAAATATCTAAACAACACAGCGCGTTAACAGACACGCGCCCTCTTCTTTACCTTAACCAGGATCGCGTTGCTTTGCTGTTGCGATGGTTCAAGGCTGCCTCACTGACTGCTGACAGTGTACCGGTGACACACAGCAGTCGCCTGGCGTCAGCAAGTCGAGGTCCCTAACTAGTTACAGTTGGTAGTTCTTCAGCTGTTATGAAGATTCATCACAGAGCTCACAAAAGCCCGCCACTAAGTCCAGTACTGAACAAATCTGTCCAGTTCACAGCTACATGCCTTGCTTATCTACGATAAATTCTGATATTGTCCTCCCATTTCAATTTTAGTCTCTTCCCTTGAGGTTTTCCAAAATAAAATGTGATACCTCGATGATTTTTAGATGCTGATGATGACTTTATTCGTTGTTCTGTACGGCATGCTGATACGAAACATGCATCTTGGACCAGCAAATTTACCTCAATTTCTCTGAGATAATATGATATGCCTGTATCGGAAGTGAAGGCAGACTGACTGGTGACAATGATGCGGTGATGAGACAGCATTCGTACCATAGGAACATTCGATCTAGCAACCGAGAGAAACAGCAAAACAAAGTGCAAGGTTTTAGGAGGATGGTGAAACGAAGGTCGACACCACGCGTTCTTAACCTAGGCACTAGACCGGGTGAGTGATTAGCCTAGAGGTGCACTCACTACACGCTACTCTTAACTGCTTGATGTTTTCAGTCTGTGTGTAGTAGCGTAAAACTCTGACGTATCGCACTTCCCACCAATAGCAGCCCTCTGGTCCAGCTGATAAGTAACATTGCCCCCGCACCGCCCCAGAAACGACTTGACCCCGCAGGGCTTTCCTCCTGGTCTGTGGACAGTATCTTCAACTGTGCACTGATAAAGAATGAACTGTACCTCATGGCTCGGAAGATTTAAAAGGATAACCTGTTTATGAAAGACTACAACGGCTTCAAAGCAACAGAATGACCAGTGCTTTGGCCATACTTATAAATTAGTCAGTTTGGTATCCCAGGTATAATGACTTCAGTCAAACAAAGCTTCTCAGCTCATAAAAGAATGGAGATGACTAGAGATGAGTCATCTGTTTCTGTTATCAATAGAAAAGCCTTAGTTGCAAACTTGAAGAATCCTAATTTCTATTATTAGGTCTTAAAAAAATTTTGTGGCAGTAGATAAGGCAGTAGAGTTCCATTTTGAGTAATCAGTTATCAGGTAAGACTTTTAATATGCATTTTCCTCTGGCTCCCTATTAATATATGGTTATACTGTTTACATCTGTTGAAAGAACTGAGAGAATAGATAACTGTATAACGTAATAGCACCATTGCAATTACTACTAGTAGTAACATTTTTGAACATTGCGGAATTACTGGTGGGAGGTTTAATAATACTGAATTTCTGCATGACCTGACTTCTAGATAAGAATTTTCCAGTGTTTGATACAGCAAAGACAAGTCAGTGATGGAAGACTACATTTTTTTGGCATTTTGTAATGCTTACGATAAATACAATGAAGAGGAACACAGAAGTTTTACTAGAAGCTAGTAGAGAGGTTGGCCTAGAAGTAAATTCAGAAAAAACTAAGTACGTGTTAGTATCTCGTCATCAGAAGACAGGCGGGCAAAATTATCTTAGGGTGTATAATAAGTCTTTTGAAAGCGTTACAAAGTTCAGATATTTGGGAACAACAATAACAAATCAAAATGATACTCATGAGGAGGTCAGGAGGAGACTAAATTCATGAAATGCTTGCTACTTCTCAGTTCAAAATATTTTGTCTTCCCGTCTGATTTCTAAGAACCTGAAAATTAAAGTATACAAAACAATAATCTTGCCTGTTGTTTTGTATGGGTGCGAAACATGGTCTCTCACTCAGAGGGAGG